ACCTTCACTGTTGTCCAAAAACTACTAAGACACACCTCTGCACTGGGTGACATGTTTCTTAACCAGGGAAAATGTGAAGCCCATCATTAAAAAAAAAGAACTCCAGTGGCTGAGCTTGGCCGTCACTAGTGTCTCAGTTTTATTCTCTGTATAAAATAACCCAACATAGAAAGTCACTATTGTTGTGATGTAACAGATGTGCGAGTCTGTTTTCACATGTCTGGTTTTGTAATGCTGCAAGCCAGACTTTCTGTGCAGAACTTTAAAAACATGAAAGATAACGGATGACATGAATAGACTGAATTCATAAAGGAATACATGTGAAAACAGCCTGTATGTGACTGTGCTGTAGCAGCTGCGTGTGAATTAAACTGACATCAGATGTATCAGTTCAGTGATCGGTGACGATAACCGCAGCTCATCGACCTCCTTTAAAAAGTGGCTCTAAAGCAACAACTAAACTATTTATGATATTTCTGTAGCCTTCTTGCTCTGCTGTTAGTCAGCATTTGTATTAAAACAAGTACATCTGTGATGGTTAGTGACAAAAAGAAGTGTTCTGATTCTTAACTCCCCATCAGGTGCTGAACACACAGTTGCCACTGTGCTTGGTGCATCCTTTCCTCATAGCAGCACAGCAGCAGAGCTCAGAGAGGCATTCCCAGCACTGGCACAAACATGCTAAATGAATAAACAAACACTAATGGGAATTTCCTTGCATGTTCAAAACGGCACAGTGATAGCTGCAGGGCTGTTCAGATGATAAAGAAACCAATTGCTCTGAGCCAGATAGCGTGTCAGACAGGACAGTTATGGATGTGACTATTTCCACCGGAGATGCTGCTGCTCAGCTCTGTGTTGAGGATGTGTCAGCTGATAAGGACAATGGCTTGAGATGAGCTTGATGGCACTGACAAATGGTGATTATCTTCTGGAATTTCTGACGCCTTGGCATGATGCAGATGACAGTGTGCTGCACTAAATGTTTGCACCACAACAGAGACCAGCTATTTGATTTCTAGGATCAATTATGTCAGGGCATGTAGAATACTGGATTCTGATGGAGGCTTGCAGCAGAACTGTCTTCTCACTAACAATCTCTGAAAGGCATTTGTTATCAGAAACAAAATATTTTCATTTCTCTGATGCTAGGACCAAATAAGTAAAGGATTAGCTGGGTTAGTTGCTGCTGTCATTACACCATGTTCTTGTGTGTGTTCAGGCAGAAAAGGACCTGGAGTGCAGCCCACACGTCAATGTGCTTCTTCTTCTTCTTCGACAGAGAGAATAAGCCTATCATGTGGAACTAAGCTCCCAAAACATGATACGTTGCCATGTCAGGAATCTTGTGAATTCAGTCCAATTCAATTATGATTAAAAAGCCAATGTCATTAGTTCACATCAGAGTGGGAGATGATTCATGTACAGCCATGTTTATGTTTGTTTAGGTTGTATATCCATTCACAACACACTCATCGATGTCAGGATATTACTGGCATAATCTACTTTAAGCCCAGGTTTATAATAGAGTGTTGGCATGTAATGTGTGCAGAGTGTGTTCCAGTGAGTACAAGTTTATGTGCAGTGTAGTCTGCTGTTTTGTCTGCTTGGCCATGTTGGTTATCACTACCTCTGCTGCCTGTGGGGGTGGCTGTGGCTCAGGAGGTAGAGCTGTTATTGTCTCCTGTTGCCACTAGACTGGTGCAATGGACACTGTATGATGTTTTAAAAGAAACATGATTATGCATACTGTAAAAAAAAAAAAGGTTGACAAGCTGTTGAGAAACACTGGAGACCATCATTGAGTATAATCATTCATGATGACCTCAGTCATTTGTTCAAATGCATAAAACACATTTTTCTGTCTCCAGCTCTTGTGAGTTATGAGTCCTTTCTGTCCAAAGCCACTAGGGAAGCAGTGTTATGTTGTTATAGGAATGATTATTGTAATTGGTCATATGCATTTTGTACAAATGCTGAGTGTGAGAGATCTAAAGTGAAAACAGATACTCCACAGGACACAGGCCAAAATATGATGCTGACATACGAATAACTTTTTTGTTTCAGCTACAAGACAAACATCTGTTCAGGTGTGGTTGCACAGGGCCCAGCAGTTGGTTATCTGAATGCACTGCAGGGCTGTAAAGTTTCCCTGTAAAAACTAAAGGCTGGAAAAAACACAATAACCATTTGTAATAATGTCTAATGCAGAGCAGCCAGCATGAAAGGAACAAATGTGTTTAATCTGCTCTTCTTCCATTTATTCCCCATTGGCTGACTAGAAAACTACACAACGTGCACTTCAGCAGCACATTGTCCTCCACCCTCTGATATAAATAAAAGCTCAGTTTTAGAGGAGCTTTACATGATCAGAGAGCTTTAGAGCAGCATCAGCAGAACATTTCCTCCTGCTCGCCTAAACTGTTCTGCTTGATTTTGTGCTGTCGTGACAAACAGTGTTAGATGAGACCATTACAGGGTTGTACTGCAGTGTGGTGAGTTGGATCAAGCTAACACACACACTAGGATTTGCTTTTCCAGGCTGTGATGAGGGCAATCGAGGAAACAAGAGGGCAAAAAAAGAAATCAGGTCTTCAAACATGCACAAATTGTTCCTGATGTTGTTCTTCTGCAGTACAGGAAGAAGAACATTTAAATGGCTGCATGTATAATGTCCATTCCCTGTTCCTGTACTGTGTGGTACTAAAGGAGGAGCACCCAAACATACTGCAGCAATCCCAAACACATTTCTGCAGAGCAGCTAAACCTTAATGCAGCTGACTGACTCATTTTGATCAAAACCAAAGCTCTAGAACAAGAAAGTGGAAAGTATTACTTCCAAGGCCAAGACGTCGGTGTGAAGTTCAGCGTGCACATCTCACTGACAGGCTAAATCAGGACAGAGGGAAGTGTATCAGACTTGATGTGCACCCCAGTGGACAACTACGTTTTTAATTCTCTGATGATGAAGATGATTATGTTTAGCTGTACACAGTAAACAAACCATGAATCCCTCCTGCTTGTGGATGCTTGTATTGGCATATTATTGATGCATTTTTACTTTTTACATTTTATTTATTTAGTTTTGTTTTGTTGGTATCAAACAGTGATACCAGAAAGTGCTACAGAAATATCATAAATAGTTTTGTTGTTGTTGTTTTGATCAGCCATAACATTACGACCACTGACAGGTGAAGTGAATAACACTGATTATGTGGTTACAATGGCACCTGTCAGTGTGTGGGCCTTATGAGGCAGCAAGTGAACATTCAGTCCTCAGAGCTGATGTGTTGGAAGCAGGAAGAATGAGCACCGATAATGATCTGTGTGATTTTAACAAGGGCCAAATTTGACGGCTGGACGACTGGGTCAGAGAATCCATCCAGCACCATAAGTGTAAACTGAGGCAGTTCCATAGCATCCCAGTCAGTGCAGGATAATTAGCAGCTTTAATGCACAACCAATGATATGGGCTCCAGCTGCCCGTGATGGCTTCCAGGCATCAAGGAGGATGAGATGAATGATACTGCTCGCTGGCTCCACCCAGTGAACAGCACCCACGGGTGACGTCCAGAGCCATCTTGTGACTGATTCACTTTGTTATGAAGTGGCAGTAAGTTACAGGCCCCCAGCCTCATGAACAGGTCCTGGCACATTATTACTCATCAGCTGAGGGGCGGCAAGTAATTAAAATGCTGGGAATTTAATTACTGTGCAATCAAGTGCAGTTTCTAGGTTAAATGAAAGGAGAAACTGCTGGAGAATCAGGTGATGTAAACCCACCAAATGTAATCTAACAGACTAATGTTGTTAAATTAATAGAACTTCATTTCTTTTTTGTTTCCTTCTGCTATTACCCACAGTCATTTTAGGTTATTATGGGCTGTAAGACCTTTGATTCTTCACAAATGTAAACATTATTTTTTTTAGGTTAGTAATGTCCAGCCATGGTGACATGTACAGGGTGTACCCCGCCTCTCGCCCGTCACCAGCTGGGATCGGCTCCAGCCTGCCACAGACATCTACAGGATAAGCAGTATAGGATGTATGGATGGCAAACCATCACTGATGGTTTCATTTGCAAAGGTTGTGCAAGGGACTATGTTGCATTTTAAATTATGTGAACAGCCAGACAAGATACCAGGGTGCACATCTTATTCCAAAACCATGGGCATCAGCCTGCTGCTATAGTGCATCTGCTTCCACTCCTCTGGTTTCACCAGATTTTAGTTTGGAAAGTACCAGTATTTTCCTTTAATTGCCGCCAGTCTTTCAGAAAGTTTTTGTGTCTCCTAGCACATGTAGTTAAGGTAAAACTGCCTATAGCATAACCCTATTTTCCCCCACACATACAGCACATACAGAAAATGACTGGAGCAGCAGTGCCTCACTGAAACAGTGTCACCCTGTCACATGTCAGCTCCTCCTCTGTGACAAAAACAAAAATACTGCAGCATCTTCCTCCTCAAGATAAACAAAAACTGCGGAGTTGGGGGGTGGGGGTATATATTCCATGAATAGAATATACAAAGGAATGAAAAATATTAAATGACAGAAGCATCATTCTTTGTTAGTAAGTTGGAGAATTGAGGATGTTTGACTGTCACCACTCGATGTTTGTGTTCAGGAGCACAATATTTTATATTGAATTTTATTAGGACAGGGTCTTCTACACTAGAAGAAACTTTACTTTCTGGATCACCAACATTACCAAATAATCAGTTTATAAAACTGTATTCATGCTCTGTAAATGTGACCAATGGAGCTCATTGGTTCTCACTGGTTTTAATAATTGGGATGTCATAAAAACAGGTACATGTAGGCTGGGCAGTCCTAGTCCTGTCTCATCTCAGACCCAGCCCCTTGCCTTTGTCCTCTCTTCCTGCTTCTGCTACCTGCTCCACCCTGCTCCGCCTACACTCACCTGCTTTCTATCTGTCCAATCAGCAGTCGGTATTTAAGGCAACAACCAGACACTGTTCTTTTTCCAGATTCTCAGCTGAGCTTCTCACTAGCTTCCCCTTGTTAGCCTCAGTTTCTAGCCCTTGGTGTTTCCAGGTACTGGTTGCTGTGTATTTGTCGTTTTCCACCTTGGGTTGGATATTTCTTTGTGTTTGGATTCTGGCTGCCCCTGGACTTTGCCGTCCCCTGGATTTATTTCTCAGACTGGACAGATTACACAGCTCTGGTCACTGTATGAACTCTTGTTTTGCTGCTGCTCCCTGCTTGCTTTTGCTCATCTGGCCTAAGTAAGCCCCTGTTTTTCTCCAGCTTACCTGCCTATTGTGTTTAGCAAATGGGTCCTACTCCTTCAGTTTTCCATTTCATATTCAATATACTGTATGACAATTTGTATTCATGGCACACTGATAAACATTGTCATTCCTTATCATTTAGCATAATTGTTTCTGACAAAATGACTTGTTTGAAAAAGAAGTGAAAGAAATTTGATATGAATTAATCTTGTTGACTGCAGAGAAAGTGTTGCTGTGCCAAATTTATTTTAGATGTCATCACTTATTCATAGTCAGTCACAGCGCTGTCACCAGCCAGTGGCTGCTATACATAGGTAAACCCAAGGAAGTACTAGGGCTAATCTTCTCACCTCATAGAGGAGCAGTTAATTCAACTGACAAAGATGATGACTGAGTAGAAACACAATGAGGAGCAGGAAGTGCTTTACACTAAATTCAAGAATTGGTTTGTAATGTTCCGCAACTCTGAGCATGTGAAAATGGAAAGGGCTTTGATCTTTTTGTTGATAAAAGGTTGATCTTATAAATAAGAGAATAGCAGAGAAACTCTTGTTTAATTCTTAGGAAGTTTTGTGTTACACAGTTACTCCACAGGAGAACAGGCTTAGTAATGGTGTGTGATATATGCAGCAGGCGTACTTGCTGGTGTTGGCACAGCTGGTGAAGACAAACACAGGATGGTTTCTGATGTGGAAGGAAGCAGAGGTCTGGCTAGTTATCTGGTCGGTTATTTGAACTGCTTATTTTAAACGTTTGGTGCTAGACCAGCAGTTGAAATGTCTGCTAGTGACTCAGTTAATCTGAGTAGATGAAGGGTTGTGTTTGGGGGGGGGGGGGGCCAGAAAGGGCGGGTGGCTCCGGAACACAAAGAGCCTTCTCGGTGAGAAGGTGCTCACCTGATGACCCTGTAGATGTGCCTTCATTTCTACACCCACACAGCTCGTATTGGTGATAATAAAGTTGGACTCACTGGAATTGTTAATGGCCTTTTTTCTTTTTTTAATTGGACAATCTTGGCAGAACAGTGTCAGGGGTTGGACAACTGAACTGTCCCAGCTCTGAGGCAACTGCCACTACGAGCCAGCTGGACCAGCCACTGCTTAACCTGAACAAACACAATGCAGATGCTATGTGCCAAGCCACATATCTGCTCTTTGCTTGGGTGAGGAAAGGTTTCAGGATGCTTTATGTTAACGATGGGTTAGGTCAGAAAAATGGTATTGCTTATTGTGGGGTTCTGAAGATTTAGGACAGCATGGCCTGACACCCCCCTCTCTGGGGCCAAATAATGGGTGAACATCATTTAACTCTTATACTGAGCTTCCATATAAATGCTCTCCCATTCTTTGGCACATTTAATTGTGTGTTAATGACCTTTAAGTTGCTGAGAGGCCTGATCCAAATATTTCCAGTTAGTCCTCAGTGTGACAGGCCAACAACTGACATGGCACTGTGTTGAACCGTTTCATAGCTGCTCAGCTGACATACTGAGCATGTTAAAGTGGGAACAGAAGAGGAATGTTGGGATTGAATTGGCATTCTGCAGAGCCTCAGAGATCTAAGTGCTTGGTTTTAACTCTACAGCTTTGAAATGGTGTGCACCCTAGTGTGGGTGCAAAGAGAATTATCAGCCATGGGTTCATTCTGTACTAGAGGCTTTTACACCTCACAGAATAAGTTCATCAGCAGGCTTCTTTATTTAGAAACAAACACAGACGTCTGCCTTCCTTGAGGCCTGAATTTCCCACTGAAAACCCAGATGTAATATATGTTAATGTGATCATGCCCTTCTTCTGGTTCTCACAAAAAGTGGTGCTGTGCCCTCAAGACTTTCAGAACTGTTTCAACTTCTCTTTGCTATAAATTCCCCCAAACCCTTTTACTGACTCAAGAACAATACATTGCCATTTTTGATTCCCTTTGAATTTTAAGCACCTATGAATGTACTGTTCACACGCTTTGATCTGATTCTTTAACATCCAGGAGAATGTTACTGACCAGATTTGTCAGATCTGGAACATGCAGGAGGTCCCACGGGTGCAGGGTCACAGCACTCACAGGATTTATAAAACATTAAAGAGTTTTTTTTTTTTCCTGTGATGGTCCCTGCATAGTTCCACAGGGACAGAGAACCCCTTCCCATCCAGATGTGGCTGTAACCTGTCACAACCTGCCCCATTCATGTCCATGTAGCTAACACATCAGGACATCACTGCTGTTTGGGCCTCAGTCCCTGATGCAGTGTCTCAGCTGCTGCAAATGAGAAGCACAAATTCTGACGTATATGGTGGAAGTTTCTCTTTTCAAAAAAATACTTCAGTGTTAGAGATGGATCCTGAATTAATAATTTAAACCTCTTTAACAGACTAGATAACAATGAAAGTGCCTTTTATTTTTGACTTAGACATGCTAGCAAATGATTAAAGACTTTCTACTGCGGGTCTGCAGTAGAGGTCTTCATGGTTCCACTCAGGTCTTAGAAGTAGACATGATCCAGGAAAAGAGACTTTTCTATGTATTCTTGACTAATGGCAGTGTTGGTGCTTGCTCTGTCTTTAGGTTGTTCTTGGAGTATTGATCTTTATGGACCAGCTGTCCTGGTCCCTTTCAGATTGAATCTCTTAATTGTAAACTTAATTTGTGCACATATTGGACTGGTTTTCCATAGCTCCCTGTCGGTGAACTCTAGTTATAAAATGTATCAACCCTGCGATACACAATTAGTTTTGGTTGCTCTGCAGCAGCTATTTTCTGGTGATGTGAGGAGCCGCTTAAAATACAGATGGAAGATGGAAAAATGTCTTTAGTTATGGTTTATTTCTAATCTGTTCAGCTCATTAGCATTAAAATGTTTTACCCCTGCTAAAGCCATTAGTTATCAAAGAATGCTTTATTGGATGGAGACAAGAACTTGTTATAACCAAAAACATGAAAACTGTGCATCTGGATTTTTCTTTTTAGTCTTGGGAATTTGGATTGAACCCACTTTGTTTAGCAGAACAGGTAAATGTATATAAATATTTTTGTTTTATTTCAGTATGAATGAAAATGTCTGAGAAAGCTGAGAGCCACTGCAGGAGCAGGGTGAGATATCACACTGGGTCACCTTTGAAGCTGCCACTGTATTTAAGACCTTTGGGGACTTAAATATGAAGTGTGCTATGACTTGTGCAGATGCATATCAGTTAAGAAAAGAGGCTTTTATGTTTGGTCCAGGAAAACTGAGAAACTTGGCTTTGTCATTTCACCTATTTTCCAATTAAGACCAAGTTTAGCCTTGAGCTCTCATTTCTTTCCTGGTGGCTGAATTTTGTTATGAATTATTAGTTTGACTGCAAAATGACCTTGAAGCTGACACCCCCTTCTCTTTTCTCAGAGAAATGCTTGTCTTATGAAGCAGAGGAAGACTAAAGCAGCTGCCAGGCAAAGACATTTAAATGCCATTTTGGAGAACTGTTGATTTGCTGCCACTTGGCCGAGGTAAGTGTGCGACAATAGGTTTGGCACATGCACACAGCGGTTTAGCTACGCTGGTAAAATGTCAGTGAGATTTATTTTCAAGTGGAAGTGGTTCACCATTCACAACACTGAGGCACTGACTTATGACTTTCTGTTTTTCTGCTTGCATTGCATTTTTTATAGCCTCCTTCTAGACTGATGAACCGTCAGAGTTCAAACCACCATGGTGGTTTCCCTGCTTATGAAGTTGTACTTCAGATCAATGTTATTGACTCAGGGAAGCAAATCAATAGTATGAGGATCCAAATAAAAAGGCTCTGAGTCAAGCCAGTAGTTTTTCTCTGCTGTACACACCCTGCTCTCCAAATTGAGGATCTGCAGCTTTGCAATGCCTTCAGCATGTGAGATTCGTGGATTTTCTGCTGCTTCCTTGGTAATGCACAGCTGGGAAGGGATGTGTGAATGAATGTTTTCCTTATTAACTTCAATAAACTTTAAAATGGAATGTAAAGAGGGAACATGTGATAAAAGGTCCCAGGAGTTCCTGATTGCACGTTTGCATCAACAAGCCGAGTGGACAGCAATTAAAATGACACATGCACATAAGACTTGGAAAGGAAAATGTTCTAATGGCACTTAACTGGGCAGTATCTGTTCCCCAGTGAAAATCTAAAGCTTTTTAAAAAGCCTCAAAGGCCATCTGTTTTGACGGGCCTGACTTTGAGCAGTGATGTGGACTGACCTATGACCTCAAAGGCTCTCATCTCCAAAAAAAATAAAACCAATACAAATGTTTCCTATACTTAAGGAAGGTGCACTAAAAATAAATGAAACCCCCTGAACCATTTTATCTTCCTAATCCGTAGCACAATAACTGCAGTAATTGGTTCAGGCCACAGCAGTTGATCTATCAGAGATGACTTGATGCCCCCTGGGCGCTTCCATAATTGCACTCATGTAATCACAAGGCTGCTCTGCCACTACTTTGCTGTTACAGGCTACTGTAAAGTTTGGCTCCATCAGTTCTACTTAAAACAGCTGCAGTTCTAACAAAGAAGCTACAAATGTGCTGATAGATTTTCAGGCTGCTGGGAGTGCAATGAAGTTTTTCTTCACACTCACCTAAAGTGTTCCTTTGTTTTTTTCATTAGGAAACGAGTAATAAACATAAATATTGTTTTGAAAAAATACATGTCTGCTGTGACATCTGGAGGCGATGAAACGACAAACATTCTGCTGTGAATAAATGCACATTCCACACTAGAGCTTTCACTGGTGGGGGTTTGTAGAATCCTTTTGGTCCTAGCACAGGGTTGTAAATGGTTTGGTTCATGCTATCAGTCATTTTGTTTTTACCATGAATGAATCACACACAGTAAACCGGTTGAAAGCCGGGTCTTCATCCAGCGAGCAGGCGCCTGTGCTCTCCCTGCTCCTCCTGTCCACCAGAACATGGCGGCAGAGCGAGACGGCAAAGATTAAACAAATAAAATGGGGTTTGGCGCCGTGCCCTGCTGTGCCAATTCAATCCCAACATGTTTTTGATTGGTTGCACGGTCTGTTTTTCTGTCCCTTTTGTAAATGCCATAGACGGATGCATTTTGGTGTTCTGGCTGTTACGGGTCCTGCAGCAGAACAAAAAGCTGATATTTCCATAAGCAGTGTTCATGTCCTTCACTCATGTGACTGAGCAGCGTCAAGCTCGTGCACAAGATGTTTGTCTAGGAAAAACTTTTTTTTTGGTTTTTAGAGACAGATCTGTGCCACTTAAAGGAAACCATGAGCTACTAAACGTGTCTTGTTATGGTAGTGAGGGTAATTTGGATGCAGTTAAGGGAATTGGAATTCACCCCATGTTTCCAGGAAGCCACTTAACAATCTTATTTTTGTCAACAGAGAGGATGACGGAAATTATTCTCCACTGCCAATAGAGAGAGGCCACAGTGAAGGAAACGTTCACTTGTTTCATGTTTTAACTTTAGTTTTCTTATGTGACCCAAACAAATGGGGAAACCTATGACAGCAGAGTGTAGCGGTGCTCTGAAGAGATTTATAAAATAATTACTGCCACTGGTTTCTTTAGTTTTTCATTCATTCATTAGGAATGAATGAATGAATGGTTTCTTTAGAAAATACCAGACTAATGGTTTCAGGACCCTGGGTCAGTTTTGAAAAAGCACCAATGAATTTGTCTGAATTGGTGAAGTTCTGCCAATCTTAGACATGTTTGAGCCTCAGGAGTGTTTCCAGGTTTATCCTCTGTACAGGCTGACAAAACCCAGAAACCAAAATCAGTGCCAAATTCTTTCTGCTTCCTCTTTACAAACACATACTGAGTGAGTCAGTGCTGAACATATTCATAGTTATTAGAGTGCATGTTGATTTAAATATGGAAGTACGGTGCAGATTCAAACTGTCATAACAAACCTGGCTGTTTGATATGAAATGATTAATCCTGCAACACTGTGCCGAGCTTTAAAAGTACAAAACTGAAAAGCCTTCCTTGTAGGAAGAACCTTCTAATGACTTAATCCTTTTGGAGGATTTTGTGTAAAACACTACATAATATTTTTTTAAGTGTGGTGATTTTCTCTGATTCTGTGGACAGTGTGCATGATTGAAGTCTCCTGTGCTTGTGTAACTTGAAGTTCTTATTGAAATAGTGTGATGCTGTTGGCACCGTTTAGTCCCCTAATAACCCTGGATTCATTTTGGTCATGACCAGTCATTGGCTCACTTGAATCAAGTGGTTTTTACTTGGCTGAACCAAACCTCAGCCGTGAACAAGGCAGAAAACTCTTGTATGAATTGTTTTTGTTATATGGGTCATTTTTGGAAAGTACTAACAAATGACCTACTGTAGAGGACGGCTTTGACTCAAGTAATTTTTTTCTGGCACAGCACTGCTGCAGCACTCCACTAAACATGTGAACACTGAAGTAATAATCATGGTAATTTCCCCCACAGCTACCTGCAACCTTATTTGAATACGTCCTAATCGGCTCCATTTGCTTCACACTGCTCTGTTTCAGTCCCATTGACACCTGATGACACACTGCTTGATAGCTGCAGTAATACTGGGCTAACTTTACAAACCCTAACTTTTGTACTGTGAAACAATGAAAGTTATGACTTTTTTTTTGAGGTGAGCTTTGTGTTTAAACAGGCAACTAAACCTTATCTCATCTGCAGAGTACTGAGTGAATAAACCAAGCCAAACTCTGACAGCAGCTCCCCTCAGTCACTGTCCCACATGCCTAGAAAGTCAAAAGTTCAGCTGCTTCAATAAAACATGGCGCCGCTTTCATCTCCCTTTTCTTCCTTCCTTTAAGTGAAGCTAGTGGGCCTCTTCTTTTTGGAAAGCCCTGAAGGCAACCAGGCCTGTCTTTGTGGTTCTGTCTCACATCTGAGCTGCTTCATGGCAAAGAAAATAGCTGGAAAGCTGGCAGTTGAGATTCATAACAAGAAGAGTCGTGACAATAGGATGAAGTTTAATTTAAGAAATGTAATTGACCTTTTAAATGAGTTTTGCTACAACAAGCAGATACGATCTGATTTCATGAGACTTTGACTCAAATCTATCAGTTTTTATACCAAATACATCACCTCAGAAGTGAGACACTGCTGCAGTCTTTTACCCAAACCTCGGCCCATCTGACTTCAGCACTCCTTACATTATCTTATGATTGTTTCACAGCCTTCTCTATGTGAAACTTAAGGGCCAAATGTTCATGGACACACTGGAGTCTTTAACATTTATTGCAGGGAGAAATTATATAGATGGGAAATTGCAAAAATACTTCTCCCACCTGCTCTGCTGTAACTCCAGCTCTCCCACTTTTCCTACAGTGCTCACCTGTGCACTTCTTCCCCATTTCCTCATTAGTGCCACAGTGCAGGCTACTAATCAAAAGTTTGGGTTCCCCTTACTTTTTCTTACGTGCAAAATGAGAGTGTGCCATTACTAAATGAATAAGTGGTCACTGAATCAGTCTGTGACCTGATCTCAGATAAGCTGATAGAAATAGTTGGATAAATCACTTTGTGTGTGAAGTCCCAGTGTCTCCAGTCCTTCTGCCTCCAACGCTGTAACGAACTGTTCTGTTCTTGTTGTTTTTGGTCTCATTCATCAGCTTGTCTGTTCATCTCCCAGCAACTAATCATTCAACCTAATGATTCACATTTGGTATCATACCCATTAATCAGACAGTAATACTTATTGATTTGTGCACTCTTTCAGATTGCTTCAGGTGACTTAATCCCAAAATCTCTTTTACATTTGTAAATTTGTTTAAAAGTAGAAACACACTTCTTCTAAACTGAAAAACTAAACTTTTTATGGATAAATTCAAGGCACCATCCAGAATAATCAAATCCTTGTCTTCGAGGTAAGGGGCTTGATCAGGGGTACTGGCTCCAGCAGTGTACAGAATGTGGAGGTGCCTTTGCTGTTAATCCTGTCAGGAATGTTGCCATTATGGTAATGTAGCCGGTAGCGCCCTTGGCCAGTTCTGTAATGTGCAAGTGACCTCTGAGCACAAGGAAGGCAATCAGCAGTAAATGTGAGAGATCTGATTGGTTTATTTTGGTCTGTGCTGAGGTTTCGCAGGCAGCATGAAATGAGGGAGCTGTGGCTCAGGGAGCTGTAGAGGAAAACCTGCTTTTACCCCAGTTACTGCACTGCTGCTTTGTGTCTTCTAATAGACAGACAGGAGGGAATGCACCATGATGTACGGTAGCTCTTGGTAAGCACAGGCATGCTGTCCTGGCTCGGTGTGCTTCAGACTACTGTAACATCAAACCATCATCAGACTTCAAAGCACTGTTTCGTCATCAGAAGAGCTCCCTGCCAGGTGTCCTGGCTCTGAACTGCCCAGTAAACAGCGTGTCCTCATATAGCTCCTCACCATAACATTACTGTGAACACAAATCTAGCAAGGGGAAAAATGACCTCTAGTGTAACACATTTCATTATTTTGGCTTGAATGCAGGCACAGCCCAGCAGCTCCTGTGGCACTTTGCCCAGTGATCAGGGTCACATGCAGCCTGTGGCTCAGAATTTTCCTTTAGTTTTAAGAGTTCACTTACTGATTATGTGGTGTCTTTAGTTAGAAGCATCTCCTTAGTGCATTTATTCAAAGCCTCACTGTACTTCATTAGGAAGCATTTGTATAGTTGCAAGAAAAGTAAGCAATTTGGTTTTCTGCATAAATTAGTCTTGAAATGTGATCTGATCTTCACCAAAGTCACATATCAACAAACACAATCTTTCTAAGCTG